CTGTGTCTGCCCAACATGCTGTTGAGCCTACCCATGTAAAAACGTGCGGTGCGAGTAACCTTCTTGATATGGGGCTCGAAAGTGAGCCTTGCATCAAGGGTTACGCCTAGGTATTTGGCTTTAGTTTGCCATGGGACAGGGGTTCCTAACATCCTGATTGGCGGAGTGGTGGTGAGACGACGTCGTTTATATTCGAAGTAAAAAGCGGAGCTTTTCTCCGGGTTTACGTCGATACGCCATTTTTGGAACCAAGCTCCTAAGTCGCTTACTGACTTTTGGATCTTGTTCCGAATCTGTGGTAGTGAGTTGCCTTTAGAGTAAAGGGCTGTGTCATCTGCAAAGAGGGCTAGTTTAACACCATTCGACGGGATAGGGATGTCGTTGGTGAATAGTATGTATAGGAGGGGAGCAAGCACAGAGCCTTGAGGGACACCGGCTTTTATTTGACGAGTAGAGGATAGCGTGCCTTCGTGTCTAAAGCGAAAGGTACGATCCTTCAAATAGGAGACTACAAGGCGAACGAGACGGTCCGGGAGGCCTAAGTCGTACAGTTTGTAGATAAGGCCCTCGTGCCAGACTCTGTCGAATGCCTTGGCAATGTCAAAGAAGACCGCGATGGTTTTTTGAATGCGAGGATAAAAACCGCTGAGGATGTATTCCACTATGCGGTGAACTTGCTGGGGGCACGAGTGTTTGGCTCGAAACCCGAATTGTTGTGGGATGACAAGAGGGTCGCCGTCTGTGGGAAACAAATGGCGCCTCAAGCGCACGAGAATAACTCGTTCGAAAAGTTTGCCCATGGCCTTGAGGAGGCTGGTGGGACGGTGATTGGAGGGGAGGTGGTGAGGTTTGCCTGGCTTGGGAATGCCAATGACAGTTGCCTCTTTCCAAGAGGTGGGAAAGTAACTAAATTCGAAGCAGGCGTTAAGGATAATGTCCAGTAAGACGATTACCTGCTCCGGGAAGTGTTGGAGGGCTTGGTTGGAGATACCATCCGCACCCGGTGCTTTTTTGGGCTTAAGTCCTTTGATGGTAGATGAAATCTCATCTTTGGACACAGTGATAGGGTCAGAGGCGGTAGGGGGCGAGTTCCTGCGTCGGACTTCGTCCTCCACTATTTGGATGTGTAAGGGGTCAGTGGGTTGTGCGCTAGGAGAGCATTGAGCGGCGACGCTGTCAGCGAAGCACTCAGCCTTTTCTTCGTCCTCAAAGGCAATGGAGCCGTCGGGACGAGACAGAGGGGGAGTATGGGTTATAGCGTCTATCCGGAGGGCTCTTGCCATCCGGTAGGACGCTGTGTGGGAGGGAGAGATTTTCTCCATGAGATTGCCCTTTTCGTGGTCTCTGTAATCTTGGAGGCGGTAACACAGTTTGCGTTGAAGGCGGTGGGCCGCGAGTCTATAGTCGGGAGTGGGATAGCGTGCAGCTCTACGGAGGGCAGCTTTTTTGGCTTTTAACAGGTTGCTAATATGTAGGAGAAGACTAGTTTTAGCAACCGGGACAACTTTTTCATTCTCTTTAAGAGAGGACGTTATAAGTGAGGTGAGATTTTCGACCGCGGTGTCTATTTTCCCCGTACTGTCGAGGGCGTCGGAAGAAAGGGTTATGGGAGGGTCCAGAGAGTCTATAGCCGAGGCTAGAGACTTCTTGAAGCCCTTCCAGTTGGTGTAGGTTTTGGAAGTGGGAGTTGGAGATGGCTGATGGCCAAGAAGGAGGGATACAGGACTGTGGTCGGATCCTAGATTATCGAGAGACTCGATTGCTCTAAGGTTAAGGCAGGCTCCTTTAACTAGAGCAAAATCTAGCACATCAGGAGCGTAGTTGACAATGTCGAGATAGTGGGTGGCAGTGAAGGGGCTGTAGACACTCAGGTCGAGAGACTGAGTGATATTGAGCAGCACCCTGCCACTACTGGTAGTAGTGCGGCAGGTCCATTCAGTATGCTTGGAGTTAAAGTCTCCAAAAATAATGACTGAGTCGCCTAATGCAAGGATGGCTTCGAAATCACTCTTAACGGGGAGGGTTCCGCTAGGGATATAGAAAGAGGCTATAATGATTGACTGTTGTCCAGTCATAGCTAATCTAGTGATAGTGGCTTCCATACTGGTAAGCGACGGAGTAGATATGTGGGAGCAATGAAGGGACTTTTTGTAATAGATGGCAGTACCGCCGCCTTTGCGGTCGGGTCTATCGTTACGTAGAAGTGAATATTTTTTAATAGTAAGGCCTTTAGAGACCTTGGGGCTGAGATAGGTCTCCTGTAGGAGGAGGAGATCGGCTTCGCGATCTCGAAGAAATAGCCTAAGCTCTGGGAGGTTATTTCGCAGACCGCGGATATTGAATGAAACAAGCGACAAACCCTTTGGTTTGATACGACCGTGAGATATTGCGGGAGCAGAGGGCTCCGGCATAGTTTAATTACAAAGACCTTAGAAGGTTGATGTGCTCAGTAAGAGCAAGGAGACGGTCCTGAGGGGACTGAGCTGTGCGCAGTTTACGCGCAAGGATAAGGATTTCATCTAAATTGTTCCTATTGAGAGTGTTATACACTAGGTTTAGAGATTCTACAACAGAGTCTGTCTGTTTTTGTGGGTCGGCGGAGAGCCGCGGGATATTTGATTCCTTTTGGAACCAGGGGTTTATTGGAAGCGGCGCAGGCTGAGAGAGCGGAAGACTCATAAGGGGCCGAGGAGGGCCCTGAGGTGGCCGACAGGGGCCCTGTGGGGGCCGGTAGATGCCCTGTGTGGGCTGAGATGAGCCCTGAGGGGGCTGAGGTAGGGGCTGGCCCTGGCTGGGCTTGCGGCTTACAAGAGCCGGGAAGGTTCGGTCATTGACCTGGGGTGGAGCTTTGCGGCTCGGAGGTGGGCGAGGAGAGCAAGGGCAACCTCTAAAATTGGCCGGATGGCCTGTTTGTCCGCAAAGGACACATGAGGGTGGGGATTCGGCGTTTTTGGGCCGAGGGCACTCTTTCGAGTGATGGCGTTCTAGGCACTTAATGCACCTGGGTGGAGCTGAGCAGTTGGCTGCCGCGTGCCCATAGAGTTGGCAGCGGTGGCACTGCGCTGGGTAACCGCGCCGGTGTGGGGCTTCGACCTTAATATGCGACAGGCCGCACACAGTGCGTGCCTCCGGCACATTGGTGAGAACGAGGAGGGCTAGGTTAAACCTTTCTCCCCTGCTGCTGTGCATTATGCACAGCTTCTATGGGGAAGCATTGGGATTTAAGGTCTTCCAGAATGTCCTCGTTTGCGAGTTCATAGGGAACTCCGCGGAGGACTGCCTTGACTTTCCTTTCTTCGGCGAGGGCGCATGTGTGGTAGGACACACGCTCACGCAACGATGGGAGCTGCGGAGGTAGAGGCAGCGGCGGAGGGTGTGCGATCTATTCCCAGAAGCTGGGGTCCCTATGTTCCGAAAAGAACAAGGGCTCGCTCTGAGAAGAGCAAGAGACGATCTTCTAAGGACAGTATATACAACAAGTAACAGTATAACAAAAACAATAACAGAAAAATTAAAAATAATAAAAAACAAAACAAGCGAAGCGCGCTCAAGCCTCCCCGCCGGAGCAAGGGGGCAAGAACGATGCGAAAAACAAAGTGACTCACCAACGGCGTCTGCTCGGCCGGTGTTAGCCGGGGAGAGCGGGGCGCGCGGGCAAGCGGTTGCGCTACCGAAGGGTCGGAGGCGCGAAAGAACTGTATGCACGACCGCTCGGGGGCGGCGCGCAAACGGAACTCGTGTATCTCCCAGAAATCGTGATCTATTTATATGATTCCTTTAGGCTGACGTAGTGAGTATATAAGCAAGCAAAAAATATTTTTTTTTTTGGATTTTTATGCGGACCTGAAGTAACCGCTTATCATTACTTTTGGATTACCCCTCGTATATTCATCTGTTTTCCAGGATTTCTCATTAACCATGAATCTACGGCACTATTATAATTGAAGGCTTTGAAGGGACCAATCAAGCCTACGTCAAGAGGTTGTATTTTGCTTGTTGTGGGGGGGGGTGTAATGTAAGGATTGTCACTCCAGAACGTTTCGCCATATCCAAAGCTTCGATACTTAAATGGGATTCGTGATTTTCTATGATTAATAAAGCTAGGTTTTCTGAACTTGCAGAGGTATGTTTTATAAAATGCAACTCTGCGTTCATCCATCCACCCACTTGGGTTTGCAAGTCCGAGGGATCCAAAAGTCGCGCCAGTCATCATATAATCCTTAAAGTTCTTCCTTGGGAAAGATAAGAGAATGTATTGCACAATTTTTCGTAATTTTAAACTAAAAAAATGAATAAAATTATAATTTAATTTTTGTCATTTCCAAATAATTTTTAATTCGAAAACAAATCTAAAAAAAAAACATAAATTTTTGTTGCCTGTTAAAAATCCTTTAGCCGTTAAACACTATTTTTTCCCGTTGCCAACCTCGCTGTCCCGTCAAATCTAACGGGAAACCGGTTAAGTTGGCAACACTGGTGGGAGGGGACTTGGGGCCGCGTGGGGTCATGTACTGTCACAGAATGTGATGTCTTAGAATTCAGATATATATATATATAGAAGAGGGGGCAAACGAGCATGCGGCTCACCTGATGTTAAGTGACTACCGCCGCCCATGACCAAATGCATGACGCATAGCATTGTAAATGGATTTGCGGCAACAGGATTATTCCCGTTTAATCCTGGAGCTATACCGGAGGAAGCATATTATGCCCCATCAGTTTAGTCTGAAGCTGCATACCCACTAACTAGCGTGGAGCTCATACAAAGTCCTATATCTGAAGTCATATTAAACGATGACACTGATGATGATCTACCGATATGTGATTGGCTCCTGCAGAACTCTACATATGATGTATTGGAGATAGACGTATACCCCGATCTTAATAAACCGACCGAAACCGATTTGGTACCAATCGTACCTTCAACAACTGAAAACTCTTCAATTGTTAAATGCCGTCTCGTTGACTATAGCTCGTCACCAGATGTTTCTGACTTAGAAATGGTAGAACATCCTCATAGGCCAGCAACACGGGTGGAAGAACACTGTGCTTCACCTTATTTAATTCCAGAAAATGACGTTTTATTGGTAAGTGCCAATGACGAACCACTTCTAAACAATGAGGACACTTATAAAATAGATTTGGGAGTTCCAAGTTGTTCTGGATTACATAAACCTATTCGTCCAATCTCTAGTTCTGACTCTGCAATTTCTGATTTAGATGCTTTAGTTCATAAGTCTCTCTTTAAAAAATGCGCTGCTGAAGACATATATAGTTACTCGTCAGCTGAAGATGATGAAAATACTGACTATTTTATCCCTAAAGGGCAAATCACACCTAGAAAACATATTATTAGTACCTCACATGAAATGTACGAAACAAATGATGAGAACTTTAGTGCCTCAGATGGAGATTATAATATTAATTTAAACAAACAAAGTAATAAGACACCATTCCAAAAATTTTTGCCAACTCCCAATTACGCACAAGTTAAAACAAAAAGACAGCGTAAGAAAGTGATAAATTATAAAGGACAAAGAATAACTAAGGATCTATTTTCAGGTAAGTGAGAAACAACAAAAAAAAATCAAACTAAATAGCAAGGTTACATGTATGTATAAGATTTTATTTGTTCCGAGTGTTAATCTAGTTTATACTATTTTATAACTTTAAGATAAAGCAAGTTACCTGATTGGTTTGATATTCAAAGACTGATTGATATTGTATCATACTATAGTTTAGAAAATGGTTTATTTGCAATTGACAGTTGTTTTCTATTTTGTAAGTAACTGTAACAATTACCTGATCTCATTTTAATTATCAAAAAAATATTAGTTTGTGAAGCAGCTCTCATTAATAATGCTAGAGCTCTAGGGCGATATTACCTACTATAATACAGGGCAAGATTTATAATTCACCATCGCATTATAACGCCCACTAAACCAAAAAAAATATGTTTCTTTTTTAAATCTATTAAGTAACATCCGAATTATGTGTGGTTTTCAGTTATATAGTGCCTATAACTGCATTATTCGTTCCTTAACTCAAACGGGCGTTAATAAACTATGTATTTTTCATAACGCCGAAAATAGGGTTTATTAAAAAGTTGTACTGATGTGGAACTGTAATTAATAATGGATCAAAATTTGCATTTTCCAATTCTGTAACATATTGTAATATCTAACAGTACTATACAGTATAATTCATTTCAATAATAAATAACATCATAAATTTCGTTTCAAGTTAGGTGGGCGTTAATGGAGAAGATAACAAGGTTACAATATTAGACTTTTAGTGCGTAGGTAAAAAGTCTAGACCAAACACATAATTCTAGTTTTTATTTTACATCGATCGGTGCACTATTACCGAAGTTATAAGCGTGGAAAGTTTAGGTACATTTTTAAAATCTCGCCCGTGCCCGCGAGTAGCGCGTGACGTCATCGATTCCATGCGGCCGCGCCGCCATACCGTTCCAGTGCGCCGATCATACGTTTGTAGTAATATTTCGCGGGTGAGTTGTTTGCTTGTTTGCCCTCGTGCGCTCTGGTGTTTTTAAGTATTTAATGATGGAAGAAGGATTTCAAAAGGGTCAATCTGACAACCTTCCAATAGTCCGTAACATGATGGTGGCGGAATATTTTCTAAGAAACAAGGATTTTGTCGCGACTGAAATACGCATAAGAATAAGATAATATTTTTATAACCTAGGTAGCCATTATTACATTAATACTTCTGGGTGTCATTTGCTAATGATAAGAATAGGTATAACAAAAATACGTAAACATTTCTTACCTAACTACTTACTATCTGCCTCTAACTAGTTTTGTTTTCTTATTCTTCTTAAGTGCAGGGTGACCTTTTTTGTGGTTTTTATGGTTAAAAAAATTTCCTGTTGTTTATAAAGAAATTTACTACAAATACCTTACCTACAACACGTACGAATTAACTTGAGACTCCGCTGGAATGCGACCCCCTTCCCGACTCCCCACACCGCGTCCCGCGCTGGCCGTGCGCGCTCAGTACCGATAGCATTTTTGTTACGGATACGCGTCTCGACTCTAGTTCGATATTTTTGATAATTGTTTGTTGGTTTGGTTTGGACTTTTGTTTGTTTTTGTTATATTTGAACGTTATTTTATCTGTTTGTTGTTAATTGCGTTGTTTTATTGTTAAGTTTGGACGTTGTGTTGTGCCGTTTTCTTGTGACGCTTAGGAGTTACTCCGCCTTTTTTTATTTTTAAAAAAAGATGGGAGGAAAGACAATACATAGCCAAGCACGGATACTTGCTCTAAAAGTTTTAAAATTTTTCGAAGATGAAAAATCAAATAAAAAGTTTCTTATTCCTGTGGACCAAGCTTTAAAGAGGGCTTGTGCAGCAACAGGCATATCAAAGGCAACACTACTAAGAATGAAAAACGAGGCGAAAAAAGTTCAATTTCTCAAGACCACAATGATGATGTCACAGTAGTATCGGAACCATGTACTTCTCAAGCAAGACCAGAACTTAAACTATCAACTCCAGGAAAAAAAAGGAAACAGAGCTCAAAAAAAATTGAACTCGATAATTTTGATCTGTGTGCTCTAAGAAACCTTGTCGACAGTTTCTATACAGTACGGAAAGAAATTCCAACATTGAAAAAGATTTTAACGGCTGCAAAAGCAGATCTAAATTTTCCAGGTACGTACCCATATTTATTGACATTTTTTATATGTATTATATATCATACTTTAAGTCATATCATATACAAGGTGGCATTTAATTCAAGCATAATCTTGTTAGGGGTGCTAGAACTGGTAATTTGCAACAATTTTATGTATGGACACCCATATGCAAAAATGAACCATTTCTGAGATATTTAATTTTAAATTATTTTTTGAAAAAATACCACGCGATAACTAAAAATTAAAAATAAAATCTTTATTTTACAGGTGAAAAAACCACGTTACAACGAATACTCGTTGACTACTTGGGGTACAAATTTAAAAAATGTAAGAACGCAAGACAAGTCTTAATACAAAAGCCAGACATTGCTGCATGGAGAGCCCGTTATTTACGAAGGAAGAAAGAAAACAATGAACTTGGAGTGGACAAAAAAACCCGTAACTTATTTAGACGAAACATGGATTCACTCCCACTATACCGTGCGCAAATGCTGGCAAAATAACAATGACGCAAGCATTAGAAAAAATGATAATCCATGACAGCGGTGGATATTGGTGCACGCTGGCGATGAAAACGGCTTTATCCCTAGTGCCGAATTGCTTTACAAATGCAAAAGTAATGCCGGGGACTACCATCACGAAATGGATAGTAAAAACTTTAAAAAGTGGTTGACAGAAAAACTAATCCCAAACTTACCTCAAAACAGTCTCGTCGTTATAGACAATGCTCCCTACCACTCAACGCAGTCTGAAAAACCACCCGTGAGCTCGTCTCTGAAAGGTGAGATGCGGAGTTGGCTTCGGAAAAACAACATTCCTTTTGATGAAAAAATGACGAAACCGGAACTGTACCATATAATACTGCTCAATAAACCACCGAAAAAATATATAGTGGACGAACTCTGAGGGAGCATGGACACGAGGTATTACGGCTGCCACCCTACCATTGTGATTTGAACCCTATCGAATATATATGGAACTTAATAAAACAAAGGGTGGCAGCTAAAAATGTTAACCAGTTTGAAAGGGAAATAGAGGGTTTGACAAGAGACGCAATACAGTCTATAACGGCTTCCGATTGGAAGAAAGAAATTAACCATATCGAAAGATTAGAAAATGAATACTGGGAGAGTGATAGACTTGGAGAAATCCAACAGAGAGAATTAATTATATCCCTCGGAGGGGAAGAATCCAGCTCAGAGAGTGAAAGTGAGGACGATCTAATGGACGGAATAGAACCGATCGTATACAGTGACAATGAATAATAAATATTATAATAAATCCTTATTAATATTCCTTACTTCTATTCCTTGATTTTACATAGTTTGTGCTGTTCCGCTTATCCAAGATTGATTCACTTTCACCCTAAGGTTGCCTGGGAGAGATTACTTTTTAGCAATAAGGTCGCCTGTTATGCTTTGTATTTTTATTGTGTACGAATCTGTAACACTTTTTATAGTGCAATAAAGTGTATAATAAATAAATTAATAATATTATAAATGAGAAAGTGTGTATGTTTATTTCTTTGTCCTTCCTTGACGCGTTAACTAAAAATAATATTATATATATTATAAAAAATAAATATTTAAAATATATAAAAATGGCAACAGTATATCACTTATTACTTCACCCCTTGCCAGAACATTTTATTTTGTTTTTGTTAATAATCTCATGCAAATCTCAAAAATTTCAAATAAAAAAACATTACGACGCATTATTTTGCACACCGTGCATTGACAATTACGTCATCGGCCCAGGTCTCAAGTTAATTCGTACGAGTTATATCTACCTATCTATACCGATACCTTCGGTGTATAAAAATATGATTTTATCTAAAAATCAGATGTTTTCAATATTAATAGAAAAAGGGTCGCATTATTATTATGATTAAAATCGTAGTTATATATTCTTCAGGCAAGGGATCAATGTCAATATTATCATTTAGAGTAGTAACAGGATCGACAACATATCTATGTTCAATTTCCTGTGAAGTAGTGGCAATCGCAAGTGCAACTGTTTCTGACCTAGATTTGGCATTTAACTAAACATCTTTGTGGTTTTTCTGTATATCGATTTTGACATGCAAACTTGTGAGGCAAAACATCTTTTTTAAGTTTGAGGGGACCACCAACTAGTTTGCACTTCACGTAGTTTTCCATATCGTTTTCGAACTAGAACAAAATACAAACTTATTTAGTCTATAAAAAAATAAGGAACCTCGTAATTTGTATTCCATCAATATTTAAAATATGTACCAACTATGTAATACATAAAAATAGGACAACACGAAAAAAAAAATTTAAGTGCTCCACTTCATAATGAAACTTCTTCCATTATTTGCGGCCCGCAAAGTATGCAGGTTGAACAGCTCTGCGATGTGTTTAGTTTTTGCTCGAAATATCGTAAAAATATAAAAAAGTTAAGATAATAAATATAAAGGTTAAGATATGGAATATGTTAACAACATATTCCATATCTTAACCTTTACATGCATTATAAACATTTTAAAATTTTCTGCAAACATAGGTAGGTTCCAGTTTAACCCCCAGAAGACACAAGTTTGCGCGTTAACCGCTAAAAAGAACCCCTTTGTCGTATCCCCTCAGTTTCAAGGCACTCCCCTTGTTGCCTCAGCCAGTATCGGAATCCTCGGCGTCGACATATCGAGTGACGTGCAGTTTCGTGGTCACTTGGAAGGGAAGGCCAAATTGGCGTCTAAAAAGCTTGGCGTGCTCAGCAGAGCGGGACAGTATTTCATGCCGGCACACCGCCTGCAACTTTACAAGGCGCAGGTTCGGCCGCACATGGAATACTGTTCCCATCTCTGGGCTGGGGCTCCCCAGTACCAGCTCCTTCCACTTGACCACATCCAGCGCAGAGCGGCTCGAATCGTCGACGACCGAGTGCTTTCCGATCGGCTCGATTCTCTGGCACTGCGAAGAGATGTTGCATCCCTTTGCATTTTCTTTCGCATATACCATGGAGAGTGCTCTGAGGAATTGTTCGGATTAATCCCAGCCGCCAAATTTCGTGAACGCACTACGCGGCAAACGTCCCGATACCATCCACACCATCTGGATGCTTGGCGGTCCACCACTGTACGTTTCAAAAGGAGTTTTCTTCCGCGTACAACCTCTCTGTGGAATAATTTACCACCAGCGATTTTTCCGGACCGATACGACCTGGGGACCTTCAGGAAAAGAGCTTACTCCTTTCTAAAGGGCCGGCAACGCGTCTGCAATTCCCCTGGTGTTGCAGTTGATCATGGGCGGCGGTAGTCACTTAACATCAGGTGAGCCACATGCTCGTTTGCCCCCTCTTCTATAAAAAAAAAAAAAAAAAAAAAAAAAAAAAAAAAAGGTATCTAAACTTACGAACTCATGACAGGTCATTGACTTATCTACATTACATAGGTAATACTTTACCCAAGTTTGGATGTTTATTTACACAGAAGTAGTTTTAGTTAAATATGTAGGTATTAGGTATTGTTTCTTCTTGAAATTATGATCATTATGCGTGGAAAGGTTCAATGAATCGTTAGTTACTTAAACACTGCGACTCGAGTAGGTAGGTACCTACATGCCTAATAGAAAGCATTTACTAGCAATAACCAAGAGCTATCATGTGAAGGTTATTACTATTTGAATACTTACACCGAAATGATCCTCACAACAATATGCTACCGTGTTTGGTCCTAAATATGTGCTATTCTCATAGCATTTGTCCATTTTTTCTGATGGTAGGGTTTCTAGTTCTAGGCACATTATAAACAACTTTTTAGGTTTTTTTGCGGCCGTATTTTTACATTGAGGCACAGCACAATATTTAATAGATGGATATAGAGAATAGATAGCAAGTAGATCCGCGAACGACGGGCACATTTGAGTAAATGTTTTGATTTCCTAAGTGCGCGTCGGGTCGCTCGCACGAAGATGGAAATCGTGACGTCATCAACGATGTCGCTCTCGGCCCGCGGCTTAGACCGAAAATGTTAACTTTGCGCCTTTATATCTCGGTCAGTTTTAAAGATAGAAAAAAATTAAAAACACAGTTATTCCCGTAATTTTTTGTAGAATTTTTGCCATATAAAACAAAAAATGGTTATCTTCTCCATTGCCTAGGTTACCTTATATACAAAAAGGGGAGATACGGTACGCCTGAACATTACATATACATATTATCTAAAACTGGACTACTTGCTATACGCACACAAACATTTATATATTGAATAAAAAATAAGACATTATGGTCGTATTGCTCTATCCTGTCTCTGCAATAACATAGCCGGTCAACAATTTCGTAAATATTTGCTTTTAAAAATGAAAATCTTCAAGTTCTTAAAGAAACATAAAAAGTAAGACATGTGACCTTTTATTATGACTATATCATTAATTAATTTTCAATAACCACAACCTTAATCAAAAAACATATTGCTATTACCGTTAATGTTACAGTCTAATAAAAAGTCTATGTATTACATATTGCATTTAAATGAAATTAAACTTCCTCATTTTAAATAATGTAGCTAATTTATAAATTCTGCAAAAGTAATTTGGTACCAACACGAATTTCATAATCGAGTAGACGTAATTTGATATCTACACTAATATTATAAAGAGGAAAGATTTGTTTGTTTGTTTGAATTGAATAGGCTCTGAAACTACTGAACCGATTTGAAAAATTCTTTCACCATTAGAATCCTACATTATTCCTGATGAACATAGGCGATAGAACGTTTTCAAAAAATTTAGGGATCCATATGAAAACTTCGTTAATGTAACCCAAGGTGTGAAAAAAATACCAAAAAAAACCTTATATCGCGTGCGCTGCGGAAACTATTGACAAGAGAGCAAAGTGATGTGCTACAGTTTTATGGAGGACATCAGTATCTACATAAAAGTCTGCAATACCATATGTCTAACTATTATAGTTATCTCACAATAACTATTTTTCCATGTTAAAATATTCAATAGTAACGTCGAAAAATCCTTATCGCGCGGCAGAGATGCGTGATATACGCGGGTGAAACCGCGCGGTACAGCTAGTCCTGGATAAATTTGTCACTTGTAATGTACATTTACAATCGTTTCATAAATTTTTGCTACAATAGATGTGTAAGCAAAGAACTGGGCATTTTTTGCAAGCCTTCCAAAAACGTTACTATTGGATGTTTGTCTTTAACTTCATTTTAAATTATTTCATGCCAAGATTTCAATGAATCTGTAATCCTGTGATGTACTCCTTTTACTTCAGTGTTGACGTGGTAATGTCTAGTCCAGTTCTCTTCTAATCTTAGGCCAGTTTTTATCATATTTCCGAAATGAATGTACACAGCCGAGGGAGAAAATCAGAAGAAAAATAATATTCACGAATTCCGATTATCCAACCTGTCTGGGGTGTATAAATGAACACGCATTTCCGAGTATTTACCCTAGAGTGGATAAACGAAATTACCCGAGGTTGCCACTCTGAAATCCTTTCTTGCCATTTAGAGTGATATGCTAGGAGTTTCTCTGCATGGTAGACTTTCTAGTAAAGCCGCAAAGGAACCGGAGTACCCAATACGGGCTTGCTTCATTTGATTTACTGAAATTGTTTTATCATAATGGGGGTGAGATCCTAAGGGGGGATAGATCCTTTTTGCATACCTACCTACATCTGATTAACATTTTGTTACTTTATGACACTTTTCACTATTCATTTTCTGTGCTAATGCTATAATTTAAGGCTTTAAAGGCACTAAAGCTCTCAGTCACTATAAGAACACAAATTACAGATATTCTTTCTTAAAAATTGACCTTTATTTGTTAATTTTATAAATTCACATTATAGCTTATGGTATGGTGAATAGCTTACAGTGTTCATACTTACATTTTCATGTATTAATTATTATGAATATTTTTGTATTGTTTTTTTAATGTGAAGTATTACATAAACTGTGCATAATTATCTAATTAATGTTTCACTTGTGAGTAAAACGATAAGCTTACCTAATAATTATTCTATTTATTTATTGAGTTGTTTTAGTTTTACTGTGACTATCCTGCCACGATTATAAACACCTAATAGGTATTTTCATAAAGTCAAGTAGGAATAACTGATTCCCAGAATTGGTGACAGTGATTTTTTCATGAACCATTTTGACCATGGTATTGAAATTTGACATCAGCCCAGGCGTCAGCTGCTTATTACACCATAAAATTTCGAGTTCCGAGTCTAGTTGACCTTTATTGAGTTAAGAAGAGTGCGTTACATTTCCATATGAAATTACGCCATAGCACATCTCATGTGCATTTGTTAGTGATCCAAAACCAGGCAGTCATAATTATCATATTTAACAATAATTTTATGATCATTTGTGACAAGTCATGGGTTTGGACATACATCTACATCTGTCTCCTTAGGTTCCACTGAAATTGTTAATGGCCTGTATTCAATGTTATAAGAATATGATGAAAATAACCCTCCCTTATGTCCCCTTAAATATGAGAAAGTCTGGATCATGCAGTGGGCTTGGCTGTTACTTCAAAACTCTATTCAAAACTTAAAGATGTGACAATTTAGTATCAAAAAAGAGCATCTGTCTTATTTCTGATATTCAAACTAAGTATGACACAAAATTTTATTTTTCACTTGTATCTTAGCTTTAATATAATAGATTTTCACAAAGTAAGGCCGGATTCCATTTGTTGTCCATTCTATTTAATGTAAGGTACTGGATACATTCTATTAATAACTTTGATCAATAAAAAGTTACATAATAATACATTTTATTGTCCTTATATGTGACTGCTGCTAAATCTAGTGCATTATTAAATGCTATAGAGTGTTCAGAGTTATAACAGACCACTATTTATGGATTATTGATTTTTTCTTGTAAATATGGATCTCTGTCTGAAATAAAGGATTATTATTATTATTATTACCTACTTACTATAACAGATCACTACCTACCTATAAAAGTGGAAATATTGTGATTACCCTTAGCCAGTTCTTGATAGGTAGCTTGTTTTGTTGCTGGTAACACACAGAGGTAGCTAAATTTTTAATACAGGATTTAGTGTTGATGAATGAACAATAGATCATGTTATAAGCTCACTAATATCCAAAACAAAGTTTAGCTTACACAATAAAGGTTTTATTGAGATAGTTTTAATTTTCAATTTTGTAAATTCTCAATGTCTCATTCCATAATTTCACTCAAACTAGAGACTGACATCGTTTAAGCACATTATCCAGTATTTCTTTTAGTATGTTGCCATTTGCAGCCTTTTTTTTTAGTTTAACAAATGCTTCAACAATTCTAGTGTGCATCTCTTGTTCTGTTTGCACATCACGAGCATAAACCTGATTCTTTAAGAATCCTCCAAATAATCTAATAAGTGGCGAGAGATCTTTTGACTGTGCCGGCCAAGTGTGTGGTCCATGTCGTGCTATTATTTGCTCCCCAAACATTTCAGAGAGACGCTTTCTTACACGCACCCCTGAATGTGCTGGATTTCCATCCAACTGGAACCATAATTGTTGACTAATATCCAAAGTCAAATTATCAACATATTCTGAAATGGTTCCATTCAGGAGGTCCAGAATCTTCTTTTCATTTATGGGGCCATTAATGAATACTGGACCTATTATTGTATTTCGGTGGATGCCGGCCCACACATTTATTGAAAATCCGTCCTGAGGGGAGGATTCTCGTAACGGATTAGGATTATGTTCGCTCCAGTAACGCTCGTTACACCGTTTCCAGATTACGTTGTGAGTAAACATGTTCTCGCCAGTCCACATAACATTAAACAGAAAGTCAGGATTCTCATCCACTTTTTCTAAAAGCCAATGACAGTAGACCTGACGGATTGAATCATCTCTAGAAGATAACAATCCTTGATCTCTACTTAACTTAAATGGTCGTCGTTTGTGTTTTTTTAAGATTTTTTGCACTGTTTTATGGTGTGTGCCAAACCGACGAGCGGTTTGTCGTAGACTAGAAGTAGGGTTACGACTCGAATATTCCAAAATTTCGTCTTCTTTTTTTACTGGTGTTTCTTTAGCAGGAGCGCCATCGTAGGAATGGACCAATCTCCGGTTTTCCCTTATTTTTTGTACAGCCACTGTAAAAGTGCGTAAGTCTGTAGGGCATTTTCGTTTGTTCCCATACCTTTCACAATATGTTCGTAGGGCAAGAGCACCGTTTTGGTGGCACTCACCATAAATTAAAATCATATCAGTGAGCTCCGCAGCCGTGTATCTATACCTAATTGAACTCATTATTATTTAATATACTCTATTATATAGCTCTTGTTTCATTGTTTCTAAGTTAGTACTCTTATTACTTTGTGATATACGTAAGTATCATATTTTCAGTTTATACAAAAGTACTCTGTGTATCATATTAGTCTGTGTTTGTGATTATTTCCAATATTTAGCGCATAGATAAATAAATAAATAGATTTTTTTTAATATGGCAACCTAACAATTACTGCCAACCTCCATTCAATAAAAATACTTGGTAACTTGAAACGAACGACGGACAATCTAAAGAGAAACTACGATTCTGATTAAAAACCGAAATCATAATGTAGAACCATAGAATATTTTTTTTTTGTGGCTTGTAGTGGTATATTATGGATGTTAGGTTGAATTAAAATAATACTAATCTGAATACCACATTAAAAATAATAAGTATTACTAAATAAACACGATTGATTGCTAAATAATGAATAAAATTTTACAACCTCATATTATTTAAATCTAAAAATTCCATAAGAATATTGAAAACATTTTTACTTTTTTTAGAAAAAATTAAAAGAGAACAAATTTCTGTAGGAAGAGGAATTTTAAGATTTACCAAAGTGTTAAATAATGAAGTATGATCATATAAATGACACGAGAAGAAAATATGGTTGAGGTCACCAATATCCAAAGCACATTCACATATTGAAGAATTTTTAATATGAAGCCTAGCAAGGTGAACCGAATTACAGCAGTGACCCAAGCGCATTCTACATAACATTGATGTATGTTTCTTATTTAAGGATAATTTATTAAACCAAGGCTTAGAAGGAATGATGGGTTGAATTTTGGCATAGTGACAACCTTTTTCGTTTTGGTTTTGTTCCAATATTTTGACCATCTATCTCTATATACTAATTTCGTAGTTCTTATAAGGTCATAGCAATAATTTTTAAGTAAAAAAGTATCCCCAAAGACTATAGCTTGTTTAGCAAGTTTGTCAGCATATTCATCACCAGATATACCAATATGACTCGGAATCCAAACGAGAGAAATGTTGATGTTTTGGAATTGGTATAAGAATAGAAGTTTCTTAATTTCAAATGTATCAAAGGATTGCGGGAAATGTCATAGAAAGGATTACATAACAATGCTTGTAAAGAACTAAGAGAATCTGAAAATATCACGCTTGATTTTAATTTAAAAAGATAGCAATATTTTATTGATTGTAAAATGGCTTACATTTCTCTTTTCACTCATCACTCTTTTCACTCTTTTCACTTTTCATTTTTTGAACTATTCTCCAATTTTGATGGTATATTGCGTATCCAGTACAACCTTTGAGTTAATCTTAGAAGCATCTGTAAAAATATAATGACAATCTGGGAAATTCTTGTCCAACGTAAATACAATTTTTTTATTTGATTCAACAGAAAATTTATTTAATCCTATATCTAATATAACATTGTCACAACAATATTGTCGTCTAATAAAAAGTGGAGGATCACCGCATTCAATCTGCAAGGCATTGATAGGCGACGAATTCATAGCGCCTATAATTAATCTTAAAGACTTGTGTTGAATGATATCTAATATTTTTAATCCTTTTTTACTAACTGGTTCAAGAAGAAATGAGGCATAATCTAATCGGCTTCTTATTATTGCATTATAAATTAATTTTAAGGAATATGGATGAGCGCCCCACTATACCCCGCATAAAGCTCTAAGAATGTTTATATTTTTTCGAATTTTTTTGGGTATAAATTATATGAGGCATGTCGGATAATTTATTATCAAGAATTACACCAAGAAATTTAACTTGTTGAATATTTACGAGGGGATAATCAAAAAGGCGAACTTAGATTTCAGGTAAAACTCTTTTGGGCGAAAAAGTTACTGTATTACTTTTATTTGGGGAAAGTTCTAGTCCATGATCATCTAACCAAGAGGCCATAGAGAGGAGATTGTGTTGTTGATCGCATTAGCACAAGATTCTATACATTTATCATTAACATAAACTAAGATATCATCAGCATATTGCAAAATTCTACACTTTGAAATAGACTGGTCCAAATCTGACGTATAAATATTGTATAATAAAGGACTTAAAACAGAGCCTTGTGGAAGGTCTTTGAAAACCTTTCGAGTATATTTTAGATCATCATCAATTTTAATATGTATATATCGATCTAGAAATAAATTGATAATAAAATTTGTAAGTTTTTTGGATATATTAAGCTTAAACATCTTTTCTCTAAGGATGTTGAGTCTGACATTATCGTAAGCAGAAGAAATGTCAAGGAAAGCAGCAAGGACCGAGTCATTTCTTGAAAATGCTAGTCTAATATCTTTGGTGAAGATAGAAAGACTGTCATATGTGCTTTTACCTTTTCTGAATCCATATTGGGTATTTGATAACAATCCATGACACTCTACATACCATTCAAGACGGTTCTTGATCATATGTTCAAAGGTTTTAATTAGAGTTGAGGATAGAGCGATCGGTCTATAAGAAGAGCCGTCGTTAGGATTTTTGTTAGGTTTCAAGATAGGAATAATTACTTGAGTCCGCCAACAGTCAGGAACAAAGCCTATGTCAAACAAAACGTTAATGATGTTTATATAGTAGGATAAAATTTGATCCTTACATTTGGCAAGTAGTGAATATGGAATACCGTCTAAACCAGGAGTTGAATCTTGAACGTGAGAAAGGACGAGCTTTAATTCATATAAAGAAAATGGACGTTCTAAGGGATCAAAAAAAGAATCACATGGAATACTTTGAGGTAGCTCCTCTCTCAAAGGAGCAGAAGAGGAGGCAAGTTTATCTAGAAAAGTGTTTATAGATTGAGAGGGAATGGCACCACTGTAAGAACAAGATGAAAAACAACAGCGAAATTTTCTAATATTAGCCAAACAACTGATGAAGGTATTGAAGGAGAAATTGAGGAACAAAAGACATGCCAACGTGTTTGTTTTTTTGTGCGAAGAGTATTTTTAGTCACTTCTTGTACACGTTGAAGGTATGAATAGTTTTCCGAACTCATGTCTAATTTATATTGTTTTTCGGCTTTTTTCCTATTACGAATGGCCTCAGTACATTCAGAATCCCACCATGGAGGGGAGGGCCTACATTTATTATTTAGAGTTTTAACAGGAATTGTTTGATCTGCTGCATTTATAACTGCGTTTGTAAATGCTTCAACAACAGAAGTTATATTATTTTCAGAAATAGGAGCGATTTTTAGAATTTCATTGTAAAGAAAAATATTGTACAGGTTCCAGTCTGCTCTGTCTAATTTGTATTTAATACATGGTTTTTTGTTAATTTCTACCAATTCTTTGTTCGGAAAGGAAATTAGAATGGGAAAATGGTCACTGCCGTGAGAGCTATCTAGAACTGACCAATTTAGAAGAGTGGTTAAATCAGGAGTACAAATTGATAAATCTACAGCACTTCTAGACTCATTAGGACGAGAGCGTTTGGTAATTTTACCAGAATTAAGGACACCAATATTAAGTTAGTCAATTATTTCAACTAATAAACTACCGTATTTTTCAGTATTATCACCCCATAAATAATGATGACAATCAAAGTCACCAAGAATTATAAATGGTTTGGGTAAGGAGGCTATTAAAGATTTTACTCTGCGAAACGTATGGACAGACAACTTGAGGATATTTTTGAGATGCTTCTAGGTATGAGATAGAATTTTGTGCCATTTCAATTTGAATATTATTTTGTCTTGTGTGTTCAAGACATCTAGAATCTGTAGCTTTGTGGTTACCTGAGCAAAATAAGCAACGAAAAGATCCATTATCTTTGTCGCAAGAAGAAGAGGAGTGATCACCTCCTCGTTTTGGGCATCTTGGCGTGGAACTTTGGTATGTCCAATTCTGCAGCACTGAACGCATTGGATCGTTGGAAGCTTATAAATTTCAACAGGAATGGAAGAATAGCATAAATAAACCCTCGAGGGAAGAATTTGACTGTCAAATGTGATTATGACACTTTCAGAGCTTTCATATCGGACTTTCTCCTCGTTGCGAACTCGGTAATTTAATCTTCTTACTTTTAATACAGGAATGGTGTTTGGATACGTAGATAATTCGGAAACAATCTCTTCTGGTGTCCAATCTTTTGGTACACCTTTTATAACTCCCATACGAGATACGTGAAAGGATAGAATAAAGGTTTTATATTTATCATTTACGAATGGATTTTCTAAAAATAGATTTGCATCCATAAATTTAGAGAATTCAACCGTTATTCTATT